AGAGCAAAAAAGACGGCTGCGTTAGAGTGCGCAAAAAAGAGGCATATCAAAACATGTCAGAAGACTCAGTGGACTGGTAATGAAAAACTGGTGCTGCTGCCTAATTAGTTTCAAGGTTCACCTTCAAGTGAAGAAGACGAAGTAGAGCTTCGGTGACCTGCCTGCAGTACCTGACAAATTCTTGTTTGTTTGGAAAAGAAGCATTTAAAAAGCTAACTATCGATCCACCAAGGTAAGAGCAGACACTTTAATGTTTATATTCTCTGATTTACTAACCAGACTGTTTTTTGGTGTTGATGTTTTTTCAGTTGTTACTAGGCGACGGTGGCCACCACCAAAGTTCACAGACTGAAGTGACTGAAGACTGAATCTGTGTTGCTCTCTTGCTCTCGCACACCCTGTCTGCCTGTCTGTCTGCTGCCTGATTGCACCTCCTGCACAGACACACATTTACTCACACTTCTTCAGACTTGTGTTTTGTCACCACTCACAGCAGAAGACTACCACCACCACCACCACCACCGTCATCGACATCTTCTCTGGTGGTGGGTGATCACTTCTCGCTGAGTGTGTGTGTGAGCATTGCACCAACAGAAACGGCAGCGTTTTGTCGAACCGTCAGCGTGAGAGTGAGCACTTCGGGGAAGCGTGGTGAAGAGTCATCCCGCCGAGAAAAAAGCGCTCCTCTGTCATTCTGTGTTTTTGGGTGTCCGCCGACGCAAAGCCAGAAATTTGCTACTTGTTCTCATCATATTCACAGTGTTTGTGCGTAATTTTTAAAAAGGACATCTGCTGAAGAATTATTATTCTACTGCCGCGTCGCTTGCATTTTCTTTGAATGTTTCTTCAGCAGTAGCAGCAACAACTTCTAAACAATTTGCACTGCATTTTAAACATCAACATCTTACTCATCTACATCATCACTTTTCGAGCTTCCTTTTGCTTCCACGATACTTTACTGCCTGTGTTCCTGAACAGTAGCACTCAGCAGTAGCGCTTTATTTTGGCAAGCCTTTCAAACTCTTCTATCCTCGCACTCTCGACCAGTATTCTACGACTACCACAAATCTTCGCCCACCACCACTACCACCATTACTTACCGCTGCATCATCGTTGTCCATCAACTGGCTGCAAACCTCAGCAGCAACCTCTTTTCATCGACTTCCAGCCACTCATCCATCCATCCATCCACTACTGTACCGAAGAAATTGAGCAGTTGAACCAGCCAGAGTCCTGTGTGTGCGCGAATAAATCACCTCCAGACCAACCAGAGCTTGATCATCATCATCATCGCCGTCGTTTCCCCCTCCCCATCTCTTTTTGCAAGCATAATTACTCTCTCGAGGTGAGTTTCTGTTTGTGTCTGAGTGTGTATTTTTGTATGTTCATTTGCGTCGTTTGTTTACTCATGTTGGCTAGTAGTTGGTTGGTGGTTGTTTTTACCCTTGAATACCGGCGCCACCACCACCACCACCATCAGCACCATTTCTATTTCAATGAACTGACGCGCATTTGTTTCTCAGTGCTAACTGCACACACTGTGCAGTGAACTGTGCCGTGTGGTTTTTCTGTCCAATGTAGTGCGATCCCCTGCATCAATTGATTTCTTTGTATTTCACTTAGCACACTGGCTCACACTGGCGCACCACACAACACATAATAACACGTACAGCTTTTTCCCCACAGGACAGGACACTGATAATCTTGGCACTGGTGCAGTGCCAGTGGCAGCAACAGCAGCAGCAGCAGCACTTCCTATCAAAGCGAGCACATTGTCGCACACCAAACACTTTGTTTGAGGCTGCTGCTGCATACATTTCCGATGCTGATCGATTGCACTGCTTGAGAGTGCAGCAGCAATGCTCGTTTTGTAGCTGGCCTTTTTGTAGCACGCACTGTTGTAAAATTTTGCATGTGTCTTTGCTCTCCAGCATTCTTCCCAAGTCAAGAGGCAAAAGTTCTTTAGTCCGTTAGTGAGTAACAACCATGTGATCCACCGTTCTCGGGACTTCTTTCCTCCTAGTAATTACCTCTTTCTCAAGAGGTTGTTTTAGTCATCACCAGCACAACTAACACAACCAGTACACTTCTGCACCATCATCGTCTCCACGCTTGCCCTTATCTTGCTCTAATCCACTCCCCGGGGCAGTGTTCCCGAAGAGTTTGAGCACTGCCCAACTAGTCTTGAAATTGATAAGATTACCCACTTCTTCTTCTTCTTCTTTTACAGCATTGTTATCAACATCAGCATCAGCATCAGCTGCAGCATTAGTACCTAAATGGCAGTTCAATCTGAGTGCTACCTCTTTCTTCGTGTTTTCTGCAAAGAGGGAGCAGTTGCTGTTGAAGCGTGAGAACACACACACTGACGAGTGTGTCAGACTTTTTTTTCTTCACGGACACGATTTAGCCTACTTTTGATGACTTTTCATTCTCAGTCATCAGCTTGATGTTCGGCAAAATGAGTTTGTCAAAACTTTTTTCTCTCTAACCACTGTCGCTAGTCAGTAGTGTAGTAGTGGTAGTTGTTGAAAACTTTCCCATTGAAAAGCAGAGTCTTTGTCCCTCTCTCTCTCTTTCTCCTTCTGCAGTGTCTAATCCTCAGTTACCAGTGCCAGCAGCAGCAGTGTTAGTCTGTTTGTCTTTATGCACGCGCCACTTAGGTAGTAGAATGAAGGAAAAGAAGGCGAGATTATTATTTGCCGATGGAGAGCGATTTAGCTTGGCGATTAGCAGCCTGCAGAATGAGCAGCAGCAGCTGCATCCTCACACTACACTGGCAACCAGAGAGATTAGCCAGGACAACATGCAGATCAACGGCAACACTATTAGTGCTGCTGTACAGAGCGGACTGGTGGTGGTGGTGGTGGTATCCAGGAGATTGCCGTACAGTCCTGCTATACAGCTGCTGCTGCTGCTGCTGCTGCAGTATCAACACAGATGATGGCTGATGATCAAGGATCGGTGGTGATGATGATGGTGGTGGTGGTGGTTTTTGGCGGTGACCAGGACTACAGCACGATGCTATCACTACCAATATGCCTGCTCCCTCTTTCTGCTGTCTGCAATGGAGTGAGTGAGTGTGTTTGCCAGAGAGTGAAGGCACTCGGCCACCACCACTGCTGAGCGACGGTATTTCACCTTCTACCACTTTTTTTGCTTTTCCGTTTGGTGCAACACTGCTGCTGTTTCTGCTGCTGCTGCCTATGTTTCATCCTTTAGTTTTACTTTCTCGGTATTGCCGCCCCTGAGATTGCTCGCTTCGTATTCTTTTGGTCAAGTCACATCAGTCGTTTCGGTTCTGAGTGAGAGAAAGAACGAGAGCAACCATTTTGTTGTCCTTAACCTTTCGTGTCCCTCTGCTGATGATCATCTGTTGGCCATTCATTTTTTTGTTCTTGTCCCTCTCAGGCTACTAACCTTTGTACACGTGGTGTTGGTGTGTGTGTGCTTGTGTCACTTGTGCCCTGCACTCGAACTGCATCGAATCATCCTCGCCTAGCAGACTTTCACTTCTTTCATTTCCCAAGAGAAAAGAAGAAGAAGTGGGATAGGTGTGCCGCCGCCGGTGGTGCTAGTGCTGCCTCTGCCACCTTTCACTTTCACTCCACTGTCGCTGCCAATACTACTTTTCGTCTTTTTGTGTGTATTTGCTAATTATCACCGACCACCATCATCATCATCGCCGCTGACTAATTGCAATTCCCAATTATCATCTACTGTGCAGGCACGGACTTGTGTGTATGTTTGCGGCAGTACACACCTTTGCATTGTCCCATCACCAATGCAGAGGATTGACGGTGCAACTGTGTGTGTGTGATTGTACCAAATTGCCAACTTTTTTTTTGCCGTTGTTGCGCCTCTAAAGTCTGTTTGTGTGTCCTATGTGTTCCCTCTCTGTTTGTTGGCTGTTTGTTTTTGTCATTGCCCTGTTAATTGTTGACCCATTAAGAGGTGCTGGTCGTGGTGGTGAGCATATTTGCAAGTGAGCACTTTCTCTGTGTTTTTTACCCGTGTTACCTTCACCTCTTCCACCTACACTACCTTTTCCTTGTTTTTTTGCATTTGAACGTGCTTTTGTTTTGCTTTTCATTTTGCTTCCCTTTTGTTTCCATTTTAAGCCTTGATTGTTTGTTTGTGCTTATTTTTTGTTTGCTTTTTATTAATTTTCTCCTTTTTTCTTTCTTCTTTTTTCTCATTTTAGCATTTTGCGCACGCACAACTCACTTCTCTCTACTTCACTCTACACACTACATTCCAAACCAGAAACAGTTTTCACCGCCTGTTCTTGTTCTGAGTGTCCCCCCATTACTGAAATTGCATGACCATTTTTGTGTGCCCCACACTGTCTCCTGTTGCTTTGTTGCTGCCTCTTCTCTCTGTGCCTCTACTACCTGTGATTACAAAACAGACCCACAGCACAGCACTGATCGTTAACTGAAGAGGAAGGAAGAATCACTACGATTGTTGATTGTTGACCATTCTCAAAGCTCAAAGCAATGCCGTCGCTGTGAATTTCCATTGAATTTGACCCCTTCCCTTAACTTTGCCTGAAATCTAATCGACGCAGGCAAAGACACACACACTGATCATCATTAGGTGCCATGTCAGCACCTCCGCCCCCTCCCCCGCCGCCCTCCTTTGGAGGGCCACCTCCGCCGCCACCGCCTTCATTTGGTGGTGGTGGTGGTGGTGGTAAGTCGTCCTCCTCCTCTTCGAAGATTGGCGGCGGCTCGGGCAACCGGTCTGCCCTGCTCGCCGACATTCGCGGCGGTGCACGGCTGAAGAAGGCCACCACCAATGATCGCAGTGCGCCCATTGTCAACAGTACGGGTTTTTTGTTTTCCATTTTTCTTTATCTCCCCCTCTTCTTTATATTTTGCACACTTTTTGCCCTGTCACTCCACTTACTCCTTCTGATTACTCGTACCTCCATTTCTATTTCTATCTTTATCTCGTGCTTGTACTAATAAATGGTCTTTTCATCATTCTTTTTTCAGATAAACCCAACCTCGGTTCAGCAGCACCTGCTCCAGCAGGAGGCGGAGGCGGCGGTGCCAGAAGTGGTGGAAATAGTGGAGGAGGAGGTGGAGGTGGTGGTGGCGGTCCACTAGGCCTCGGCGGCCTCTTTGCCAATGGCATGCCCAGGCTGAAGGCCACCGGCTCCAGTTTAATACCTGAAAAGACTATATCCAATAGTCGAGGTACAACGAGTACTACGAGAACAGCTGAGCCAACGCCCGCTGGCTTCTCATCCACAGCCTCAGCCAACAAACCTTCGCCCAACAACTTCAGCAGCAGTGGTGGCGGTAGCAATAGCAATAACAAGTTCAGCTCTAGGCCGCCAGCTGCAGCTGAAAACTCCTCCTCACCCTCTAGGCAGTTTTCCGCCAAGTTGAACACGCTGAACAATAGCAGTAATAGTCGGTCAACAAGCAATCACAGCAACAGCAGTCTGTCTGTTGCCAACAACAACACCGGTGCCGGTCGAAAATCCTCTAGTCCTGAAATTGAGAACGCCCGCAAGAAGCTGCAGGAGACGCTCTTTCAGAATACCCCCAACAACAACACATCCTCACAACCTCCAGCTCCTCCAGCCTTCTCCAGCGGTAATAACTCTTCAACACTTCACCGGAGTGCGCTGCACAGTAGCAACAGCAACAGTGGGAACAACAGCCCGTCCATCAGCAATAGCAAACCAGTGCCGCCGCAGAAGTACCACACCATCAGTCCGAAGAAGAACAGCTACAGCAGCAGCAGTTCTACTCACAACAATCACAACAACAGTAACAGCGACAGCATGCCCGCTCACAAGGGCCAGGCGCCGCAGCCTCCCACCGGCGGCGGCGGCCTGAACCCTCCTCGGTCCTCCATTCACCGCTCAAACTCGCAGGTCAGTGCTGGGTCTGGTAGTAGAACGACCTCGGGCAGCAGCAGCGGCACTAGCTCGCAGCACTCTCGCCCGTCGCCGAAGCCGCCCAATGTGAAGCCGCCACCGCCGCCGAAGCAGTCCTCTCTGGCCGGAGATGGTAATGGACAGCCGGCGAGAGGAACGGCAGCAGCAGCCCCGCCGCCACCACCGCCCCCCTCGGCGGTGACGGCCACCAACTCGGCGAAGCTAATCTCGGCGATGATGATTGGCGGTGGTGGTGGTAATGGTAATGGTAATGGTAATGGTGGTGGTAACAAGTCCTCACTTCATGGAGGAGGTAATGCTGGTGGTCCACCACAGCCACCGTCATTTGTGAAGCCCCCCGCGCCGCCACGTAACTCCAGCTACCCGAACTCCCTTTCCTCTGCTTCCTCTTCAAGTGGAGGCGGTGATAGCAGTAGCAACAATGCCTCTGCAGCCGCCCCTCAGCGAGCGGCGCCGCAGTTGAACCAGGCCATGAGGGCACAAGGTGGTCACAATACGATAAGTAACAGTAGCAATAGCAGTCTTCATCCGCAAAACAACCATCACCCCCAGCATCATCATCACCACGCCTCATCCACTTCGCTTTCCTCGACGTCGAAGGTGATTCGACCGCCGCCCGGGCCACCGCCGCCGCCGCCGAATCGGGTGTCCAGTGTGACCACCACTGGCAACCAGGGCATGACCTCGACGATGGGACGGTCGACGAAACCGGCGCCGCCTATTCCCCTGCACATTGCCCTGCCTGATGGCGGTGGCGGTGGTGGTGGAGGGATGATGATGCAACAGCAGCAACACTATCAGCAGCAGCAGTCGCCAATGATGGACAGCTTACCGCCACCGCCGCCACCGGTGAGGCACGCTTCCATCAATGCGAAAGGTATAATCACAACTTCATCTTAATCATTAATCCAAATATTAATCTTCCTTTTGAATCCACAGAACCCTTTGCAAAACGGTACATTTTCAAGGAGATTTGCGAGTTGCCGGCGCCCGGGCCGATGCTCAATCAGAACAAGTCCTATCCTAGCCATGGCGCGGGTAAGTCTCATTTTTAATGCGATTTTTTATGCCTAATTTTTATACCTTTCTTTTTTCTTCCCTTCTGCAGCACATCGAGGTCGGCGGCGTGAACCTCCGCCTCCGCCCCCTCCAGGTCACCACCACCACCAACATCCGTTTCCGCCACCTCCCCCAGCGGCTCCACCGGCGCCCCCGTCGATGATGGCACCGATGATGGGGGCAGTGGCGGCCAACGGTGGACAGTTTGCCAACTACCCCGACAAGCGGTTTCACATTCAAATAAACCGGACCCCCAACTACTAGAAAAGCTTCAGTAGTTGAATAGTCACCACAACAGACTGTACCGAACCTCGCTTTCCCTTCAAGCCAAAAAGTGCGCGCGTGTGACTATCATCGCCAGAAACAAAAGAGGCTGGCAATCAATGTGATCAATCTTCACCTTTTTCTTCTCCTTTTTCTTGGCTCAACCTCAACTTCAACTACTCCTTTCTACTACTACAACTACTACTACTACAGCTGAAAACTGAACACTACACAATGTACAAAATCATCGCTAGTCGCCGGTGAGAATGTTGCTCTCCGCAAGCATCAATTCACCCCTTCCCCATTCATCCAACTCTTCTCCTCTTCATCCTCGTCATCCTTCTCCTCCTCTTCATCCTCTTCCTTCGCTCTTGAAACTCCCACACCATCACCCCTTTCTTTTGTGTGGCACTTCTTCAGCACTTCTCCTTTTTCTTCTTTTGTTGAAGAGACTCAATTTCTTCTTCTTCAGCGGCCTTCGTGATAACTGAACAGAAATGCTGCTTCCTTTTCCCTTACGCGCGTAGACAGATTCTGCCTGGAAAACGACCACAACCAACACAGACATCTTTAAGAGTTTTAACTTTATTATTTATTACAATTTTTATTATTATTATTTGTAAGCAGAGATGAGCTGAAGGAAGAGGGATGGATGGGGATGAACGGATTCGCTACCATATAATATTTATATAATATTTTTTGATGAGTACATTTGCCCAGAGAGTAATCTATTATTTTGTGTTTTTCCTTTTTATTATGATTATTTATAAATTGAATGAACGAAGAGTAAAAGACTTGAAACAAAAAAATAAAAGAAAGACTAACCCAAAAAAAGTAGTTCTCCCGATATGTGTTGTGCTGTTGCTGGATTCTAGGTGGAAACGGTGGTGGGGGTTGTCATTGCTGGATTCGTAGCCACAGTCGCTGAACTTTGACCTTCCGCCGTCTCCGTTTGAACAGCAGCCGGCGCCGTGCAGTTCATCTCGTCGTTGAGCAGCGCCTGGCCGGCGTCGCGGAGAATCTGAGACGACAAAAACAAAAGAGGATTAGAGTCAGATTTCGAAGACCACAAAAAGCACACAGCTTTGCAGCTCTTACCTTGAGCTGCATCTCCAGGCCCTTCAGCTCGTCGTCGATCCACTGGCCGCGAATGGCGCAGGTGTAGGTGATGACGATGGCGAAGCGGGAGACGGACAGCAGAAGGGAGAGGCAGCGGGACTCGAGGAGGCGGGGGTCCAGGGGCGGGTACATCGCCTCCACCACGTCGTCCACCCGTGGAGAGATGGTCCGGGCGATGCGGCCGATCTCCGAGAGGCGCAGCTGCTGGTCGGCCTCGCTGAAGCGCGGCATGGTGGCCATGGTGGCGGCCACCAGGCGCTCCGTCAGGTGGTGGGCGCCCTTGAGCACCGCCAGACAGTGCGGAATGAGCCCGGTGGCGTCGTCCACCCACTGCGTGTCGGAGAGAATCTGGTCGATGTTGGGGTGCAGGCGGACGTCGTCCAGCTCCAGGTTCTCATTGCCTTTTGAGTTGTTGTTGTTGTTGTGGTGAGGATTGTTGTTGTTGTTGTTTAGATTGTGTGGATGGTTAGGGTTGGCCGTCACAATGAGGTAGGCGTTGTCCGGCTGGCTGTCGGCGATGGCGTTGAAGTGCTTGGAGAAGAAGGAGGCCTTCTTCGAGAGGTACAGCCGCCGCTGGGCGCAGATCAGCACCAGGGCCAGGAGGGAGCCGATGAAGACGACCATGAGGATGATGATCGCCCCCAGGATGATCGTCTCCATCTTCTCCTCGTCCATGATTGCTCGGTCGGTTGATTGGTCACTCTATCAGCATCGGTAAGTTACGTTTCAGTTGTTGCAGTGCTTTGAAGTGAAGATAATCTGATAGAATTGGGGATGTGATGCTTGTGCTCGATGTCAGCGAGAGGGAGAGAGAGGCGCACAGGAACAAGGCGACACAGCTGCTTTATCTCACCAGTTCTATTTGCAGGCACTTTTTGGGGAGAATGTCAAGCGATGTGATCATGCGATACTGGTGATGTTCAGTGACACTTGCAGCTGCTGATTTTTTTCCACCACCATTAATCTTGATCTGAAGCTTTTCACTTTCCACTCAACACGGCAAAAACTCCTTTCTCCTTTCCTTCCTCTTCTTCTTCTTCTTCGGCTGCTTCTGAGCGCGGACAGTTGTGCTTGCCTTTCCTTACTAGAGCACTTTTGCCTCGCTGCCTCTTTGCCCGTCTCTGCCTGACACTTCATAACCTGTTCTGTTCGGTCAATCAGCAGGTAGCACTGGCTGCTACCCCCTTGCCTCGCCAATGCCAAATGAAAGGGCCGCATCAAACCAGTTCTCCAGTGGTGGCGTAGCTTCGAGTGGAGAAAAAGGCAGAGGTAATCGCTGAAGCGGTGACCACTTTCTTGGCAGAGGTCACACCATTCAATTTTGAGGGCCTTTTGCTGAAAGTATAGTGGTATTTAGAGGTTTATGGATTATCAGCGTTTCGTAAAAAGGCCTCTAAATTGCACGGTATTGAGGAGTGTGGGGTAGCAGTGACGATCGGGCTGTGGCATCATCATCGCAGTTCCATCAATCCCAGTACTTGACTTGCAATCGTTTTTGGACGATACTGCGGCGTATATCTGATGTTGATCATTTCCCAATATATCCACACTAGACAATAGGCTTACGGTAACAGTGCGCATCAGCTTTGCGTATACGACGACCACGAAGATGACCTTTCGTCTTAGGCTCTTGATTTGCGTTTAATGTACGCAGATGGACCGGAATTTTCTGTGGCAATCTTTGACGACCAAGGATCGGTTAGGTCTTCGCTCTTGAAACGACTGTCCTGCTCTTTGGAGAGTATTAAAAGGCGCTTGGTAGAGACCAGTTTGTCATTAGCCACAAGTATCTTGTGTTTCTTTTTTCTTTTGCAAATCAATTTTAAGCTTGAGGAGTAATTCTTACTCAATGTCCACACCATTTTCCAAAACCTTTGATGCACGCTGAAGATTTCGAAACAAAAAACTTCAAAGTAACGTCCTCTACTGACGGGCCTTTGTTTTGTATCTGCAAAAAATGAAGAGATTTTTCTGAAGCCGCATGAGATTTCCATTTCATGTGACATTTTATCTTTTTCAGTATTTCTGTTTTCTTTCTTCATTTTGTGACCCATTCTCAATCAGAATCTTTCTGCTGATCCTTCTCTCACCCACCACCGAAAGCCATGGATGAACTCGACAAGCTGCAGTACCTCTCGCTTGTGTCCAAAATCTGCACTGAGCTGGAGAATCACTTCGGCTTCAACGACAAAGATATGGCCGAGTTTCTCATCAACCTTGCCGAAGATGCCCAGTACGATGATTTCAGAAAAAAGGTCGAAGAGTTTGGCGGTGAATTTACCGAAAATTTCATCGCCAACATCTTTCGCATCATCACTCACATGCGCCCAAAGAAGAAGGCTGAAGAGCAGGAGAAAGAAGGCCAACCAAAGGACGACAGATCACTGAAGCGGGCACTCTTTCCCTGTCTTGCAATGCCCAATGATCCTTCAGTTCAGACCTGGCTGAGTGAAGAGAAGAAAGATAAGGATAAGGATTCCGCCAGTGATAATGAATCGAAGGAAGACGACGACACGATGGCCCTTCTTGAGGCGCTGGAGCAGACAAACAAAACATCCAACAAAAAGCGGGAGCGATCGCGTTCCAAAAGCGCCGACAGAGATCACCACCGATCAAAGCGAACTGGTGATGACCACCGTCGTCGCAGCAGAAGCCGTGATCGTCATCGGCGGTCCTCGAGAAGCCGCAGCAAAGAGCGGCGAAGAAGTCGAAGCCGGGAAAGGCGGAGGAGCCCGAGCGACCGCGACCACCACCATCGAGATCGCATCAGAAGGAGAAGTCAAAGTCGAGAGCGAACCAGCCGAAGCAGCCGACGCAGTCCAGATCGTCGTGATTACGAAAACCGTGATAACCGTAATGGTCGCGAATATGACAGTCGAGATGGTCGTGACGACCATCGTGATCATCACAGCCGCGGTGGTCGCCGCTCTCGCAGTCCGGAGGAGCAGCGAAAGCCTGGCGGACGCTTCCATGAGCTGCCGGAGAATCCCTCGGTGGGCGACATCTTCGACGGCAAGGTGAGCAACATCATGCAGTTTGGCTGCTTCGTCCAGCTGGAGGGGCTGAAGGGCCGTCGCGAGGGCCTGGTGCACATCTCCCAGCTCCGCCGGGAAGGCCGCGTCAATGACGTCAACGAGGTGGTGAAGCGCAATCAGCGCGTCAAGGTGAAGGTGCTCTCCTTCAGCGCCGACGGGAAGCGCATCAGCCTGACGATGAAGGACGTCGACCAGGAGACGGGCGAAGACCTCAACCCGGACATGGGCGGCGGCGGACATGGCGCCAACAGGGGAGGCGGCGACGACGACGGCGCCAGCTTCCGCAACCCTGACCGCCCCGCGTCGATGCCCTTGGCCGGCATCAAGGCCATGGGTGGCACTGACGGGGAAGGTGGCGGCGGGGAAGACGGCGAGTCGCGTCGCCGCATCGTCCAGCGCATATCCTCGCCGGAGAAGTGGGAGCTGAAGCAGATGGCCGCCGCCAATGTGCTCGACCGGACGATGCTGCCCGACTTTGACGAGGAGCAGGGCGTCCTGCCGCGCATCGACGAGGACGAAAATGAGGACATTGAAATTGAGCTGGTGGAGGAGGAGCCGGCCTTTCTTCGCGGCCATGGCCGAGCGCACGTCAACGACCTCAGTCCGGTGCGCATCGTGAAGAACCCGGACGGGTCGCTGGCGCAGGCGGCGATGATGCAGTCGGCGCTGTCGAAGGAGCGGCGCGAGGTGAAGCAGCTGGCGCAGCAGGCGGAGGCCAACTCGAGCCGCCCCGAAAATAGCAAGGACTGGTTCGACCCGATGCCGAAGCAGCAGTCCACCAGCGAGACGGCCACCACCTCCAGCTCTGGGTACGGCGGCATGCCCGCGGAGATGCCCGAGTGGAAGCGGCACATCACCGGCGGCGCCAAGGCCAGCTACGGCAAGCGCACCGAGCTGAGTCTGCTGGAGCAGCGCCAGTCGCTGCCCATCTACCAGTTCAAGGAGGAGCTGGTGAAGGCGGTGGCCGACAACCAGATCCTCATCGTCATCGGCGAGACGGGCAGCGGCAAGACGACGCAGATCACGCAGTACCTGGCGGAGGCGGGCTACGTCGCCCGCGGCAAGATTGGCTGCACCCAGCCGCGCCGAGTGGCGGCCATGTCGGTGGCGAAGCGAGTCGCCGAGGAGTTTGGCTGCCGCCTGGGCACCGAGGTCGGCTACACCATCCGCTTCGAGGACTGCACCAGCCCGGAGACGGTCATAAAGTACATGACGGACGGCATGCTGCTCCGCGAGTGCCTCCTCGACTCGGACCTGCGCGGCTACTCGCTGCTGATGTTGGACGAGGCCCATGAGCGCACCATCCACACCGACGTCCTCTTTGGCCTGCTGAAGGCGGCCGTCCGCCGTCGACCGGACCTCAAGCTGATCGTCACCTCGGCGACGCTGGACTCGGTCAAGTTCTCGCAGTACTTCTTCGAGGCGCCCATCTTCACCATCCCCGGGCGGACCTTCCCCGTGGAGGTGCTCTACACGAAGGAGCCGGAGACGGACTACCTGGACGCGAGCATGCTGACGGTGATGCAGATCCACCTGACGGAGCCGCCCGGCGACATTCTCCTCTTTCTCACCGGCCAGGAGGAGATTGACACCGCCTGCGAGGTGCTCTACGAGCGCATGAAGACGCTCGGGCCGGACGTGCCCGAGCTGCTCATTCTGCCCGTCTACTCGGCGCTGCCCTCGGAGATGCAGACGCGCATCTTTGAGCCGACGCCGCCGGGCTCGCGCAAGGTGGTCATCGCGACGAACATCGCCGAGACCTCTCTGACCATCGACGGCATCTACTACGTCGTCGACCCGGGCTTCGTCAAGCAGAACGTCTACAACCCGAAGACGGGCATGGACTCGCTGGTGGTGACGCCGATCTCGCAGGCGCAGGCGAAGCAGCGCGCGGGCAGAGCGGGCCGGACCGGGCCCGGCAAGTGCTACCGCCTGTACACGGAGCGCGCCTACCGCGACGAGATGCTCACCACGCCGGTGCCGGAGATTCAGCGGACGAACCTCTCGGAGACGGTGCTCCAGCTGAAGGCGATGGGCATCAACGACCTGCTCAGCTTCGACTTCATGGACGCGCCGCCGGCGGAGGCGATGGTGATGGCGCTGGAGCAGCTGCATTCGCTGGGCGCCCTCGACGACGAGGGCCTGCTGACGCGGCTGGGCCGGCGCATGGCGGAGTTTCCCCTGGAGCCGCGCCTCTGCAAGATGCTCCTCCAGTCGGTGGCGGTGGGCTGCAGCGAGGAGGCGCTGACGGTGGTGTCGATGCTCAGCGTGCAGAACGTCTTCTACCGGCCGAAGGAGAAGCAGGCGGCGGCCGACGCGAAGAAGGCCAAGTTCAACCAGGCCGAGGGCGACCACCTGACGCTGCTGGCGGTGTACAACGCCTGGCGGGCGAACAAGCTGAGCACCGCCTGGTGCTACGAGAACTTTGTGCAGGTGCGCACGCTGAAGCGGGCGCAGGACGTGCGCAAGCAGCTGCTGGGCATCATGGACCGCCACCGCCTGGACGTGATCAGCTGCGGCCAGGCGACGGCGAAGCTGCAGAAGGCCATCGCCAGCGGCTTCTTCCGCAACGCCGCGAAGAAGGACCCCCAGGAGGGCTACCGGACGCTGGTGGACGGGCAGGTGGTGTACATTCACCCCTCCTCGGCGCTCTTTCACCGCCAGCCGGAGTGGGTCGTCTACCACGAGATTGTCCTCACGACGAAGGAGTACATGCGCGAGGTGACCACCATTGACTGTCGCTGGCTGGTCGACTTTGCCCCTAGCTTCTTCCGCTTCAGCGACCAGTCGAAGCTGTCGAAGCACAAGAAGCAGCTGCGCCTGGAGCCGCTGTACAACAAGTACGAGGAGCCGAATGCCTGGCGAATCAGTCGGGTGCGCAAGCGGCGAAACTAGGCGAATTCTGGAAAATTCATCTTTTTTTCTCTTCCTTTTCTTTTACTCTACTCTACTCTGATTTTTGCTCACCGACACTTTTCTGCACACACTCACAAAATTTAAAATACCAATCACTAGAACATACAAGTAGATTGTATCAATTGCATTTTTTGCTTACGCTTCAGGCTTCAGGCTGACGTTCGGATCGGCGATCAGCTGCAGGAGGCGGTAGAAGAGGAGAAGGAAGAGCGCCCCGAAGAGGTCGCAGATGGAGGTGTTGATGGGAATGACGGCCTCGTCAGGGTCCCAGCCCAGCTTCCAGGCGATGTGCACCAGGTTGCAGGTCAGGTACACCATCAGTGTTAGCTGGTGTTGGAGTTGATGAGCTTATGGGTTAAACAGAAGAGGGAGAAGTTTTCATACCAGGCAGACGGAGAAGAGCAGGTAGGCGCCGGTGAAGGGCAGGCTCATCTTGATGTACTGCTCGCCGAAGAAGGTGCGCAGCGCCAGCAGGTAGGCGAACTGACAGGGCACGACGACGTGCAGCAGGTGAGAGCGACAGGTTGTCGAGATTTTGCTGTTTTGATCTGAAGTGAGCAACTTTAAATTCAGACTGCATTTAAAAACACATCATTTATAGTTTACCGTAGTGCACAAAGACCTCACGACAGGAGACGGTCCACTTGATGGTGGTGGTGGTGTTAGTGGTCGGAGTTGTTGTTGTCGTCGTCGTCTGTGGCTTCAGCGATTCGGCGTGTTGTTTGGCGCCATCATCACCCCCTCCATCACTCCCACCACCACCGGCAATAGTGTGCGCGTGCGTAGAGAGCAGACTGCTGATGATGGAGACGCAGTTGCCGACAAAGCCGCCAAAGACGGGCGAAAGGAGGGTGATCTGCTTGAAGTGGCCATTGGCGTCCTCGAAGATGAACCCTGAGAAGAGCGAGATGAGGGTGGCCAGCACCACGGGGGCGCTGCTGTGGCGGAGCGAGCGCAGGCTGTCCTCGTCCAGCAGCAGCTGGTAGAGCAGGAGGACGAAGACGAGCAGAAAGACGCCGGTGACGGTCCAGGCGAGCGCCCGGCACAGCGCCGGCTCCAGCCAGCTGACCACGTGGGCGAGCTTGCCGATCAGCAGGACGGTCACTAGGTCGCCGCTGGCGGCCGCCATCGAGGTGGCCATGTCGTCCGGGTCCTGGCCGTAGCGGCTGATGAAGCTGATCGCCACCGTGACGATGCTGCCTGCCAGAGAAAACGGTAAACAAACAAAGAGGTTAGATGTAAACAAAGCAAATCGAAATGGCTCCCGTTTCCTAGGCTCTTACCGAGGATGGTGCAGGTGACGAAGCTGGTGATGAGGCCGATGGCAGCGAGCACCACCACCTGGTCGAGGGTGACCTGGTCGTCGCGGAGGAAGACGAAGGCGGCGGTGGCGGCCACCGCAAAGAGCGTCATCACCGTCACCTGGCACTGCATGAGGACCATGTTGCGCAGCACCAGCCCCCCGGTGCCGCCCGCTGTCTTCAAGTGCTCGGTGGTGTTGGCGATGGTGCTGGTGCGCGACGCCATCGACATCTCCAGGTTGCCCTTCAGGTCCATGAAGGTGGGAATGAGCGCCAGCAGGCCGTGAATGCGTTCCAGGAGGCCGCCCTCGTTGAAGCCGAAGAGCAGCCAGCCGGCGGTCAGCTGAATGAAACCCGAGGCGAGCAGCACCGTCAGCTGGAGAAGGTTCGCCTCGCCCAGGCAGTGCAGGGCGGTGAAGGCGGCCAGCAGAGTGACCAGGAGGGCGAGGAAGAGCAGCAGTTCGAGGGACATGTTCGTTCGTGTGTTTGAAGCTGGTGTTGATAGTGTTGAATTTAGCTGAAATTAGAAGACTTAATTTGATGACGTCAGAAGAAGCTGAATTACTTTTAGAACTAAGGCAAGTATAAAAGTCGGTTGATGCTACTGAAGAGCAAAAAGGAAAGGCAAACGAAGCAAGCAAATCTAATGTCATCGCCCAGCGATTTTACCTCTCCTTCGGAGGGCGGCAGCCAGACCACTGCATCAATTTCAGTGCTCGACATTTTGGGCATAATTTTTCTGTTTCTCTGCTGCCTGTGCTGCTGCTTTCTGTGCTTTCACCCCATAATTATCATCTGCAACAAAGGCAAAGACAAAGACAAGAAACACAAAGACAAGAAGAAGGGCAGTAAGCGGAGCAGCAAACACCGGAGCACAAGTAAGCACAAGTCCTCGAGAAAGAAGAGCAGCAAGAAGAAGAATAGGTCTTCAAAGAAGGACGCCTTCCTCGCTTCAAAGAAGTCGGCCAAACCGGGTGATCCGTCCTTTCAGGATGACACCGGCAATATGAAGGAGAACATCACCGCCTCTCATCACCCTTCGAAAAAGCAAGTTTCCACTAGTGTCGGTGGTGCTCCAACTTCCGGTGCAGGTCCTGGAGACACGAATCCGGTGGTGATGAGCACCAAGGCTCCACCGCCGCCGACCACCACCAAGCGAAGCATCATTACGAAGACTTGAAGAGAAGGAGGATGCCATGATGCCTCTCTTTTCTAACAGCACATATTGAAATTAAATCGAATTTTTCAGCAACGTTGGCTTTTTTGTTTTCGAAATCTGCCTGGTCACTACTAAACAAAACGCGCAAGCTCATCTCTTTTACAGCCTCTTCTCCCCGTCTTACAGTCATCATCTTTTGAGACCACCAACTTTCAGCAAAGAAACATTCACAACATGTCCGCCATTTCCGACTTCACAGACAACGTGCCGCCCACCAAAGCCCGTGACTCGGACACCACTGACGGGTCTTCAATCAGCCTTTTCATTGCCATCGTCGTCGTCCTGGTCGTCCTCTGTTGCGGCGCCATCATCGGTTACCTCTGCGTGCGCTACTTTGGCAGCAAGGCCGGCATCGACGACGGCAAGTCGAAGAAGAAGAAGAAGGGCTCCAAATCGAAACGGGGCGGCAGCAGCAGTCGAGTTAAAAGAGGTGGTAGCTCAAAGAAGAAGGTGGGCGGTGGTGGCTCCATCAAGAGGGGCGGCTCCAATGCTGATGGCGGAGAAGGAGGTGGAAAGGGAAAATAGGAAAGTAGAACCTAGAAGAGAACCAAGAGCAGTCTTTGGCTGCAAAGATGTAAACACAATCTTGGTTTTGTTTGTTTGTGCAGCAGCAGCAGTAACCACACAAGGCGTCACAAAGCTGTACAGCAGCAGAACATAAATGTAATAAAAGATTAAATAACAAATAACATACGGGAGTTTTAGGCTTTCACAACACCGCCCGCACACTCGCACTCGGTGTGGCACCGGTGACTGGGCGTCCAGGCGCCCAGACTCTTCGTCGCGTAGAAGTCCATGTGGTAGCGGCCGTCTTTGGTAAAGTTCGGTTCCGGATTTTTCTCCTCCTCCTCTTCCTTCTTTTGCCTCTTTTCAGCCTGCAGATTTCGAACCGCCGTCCTCAGCTCGTAGGGCGACAGCAGCGGCCGGTCGACAAAGGCGTCGCCCCAGTCGATGCTCAGCCGCGGGCAGCCGATCTGCACCCAGGCGGCAATTTTCTCCGACTTTCCATCGCCGCCTTTTCTAGCCCCGGCCAGCTCTGTCAGCAGCACCGGATTCAGCTCCGACATGAGGTAGGTGACCACTGGCGTGGACGGGCTGACGTCACCGATCAGCGCTTTGAGCGTCTCCAGGACGGTAAAGTTGCCCTGGCGGCCGAGGGTGCCCAGGATCAGGCCCACTGCTCCACCACAGGTCGTTCCATCATCGCCTCTGAGCACCGTCACCATCTTCTCGACGGCGGCCGAGCGCTGGCTGAGCATCGCCTCGTTGGCGTAGTACTCCCGCGTCAGCTCCTTGCTGTAGGGGTTGTACTTGTAGGCGGCCAGGCCGGGATTGGCGATCATCAGCGCTTCCAGGTGAAAGCGACCGTCGGCGACGAAGACCAGCGTGTTGACGTGGTGCTCGTCGAGGAAGGGCGCCGTGCAGCCCAGTATTTCGCCAGGCGTCAGCGGCCGGGACTGCGGCACCACCACCTCAAAGTGATGCTGATCGCGAAGCTCCCGCGCCGCAACATGCGCCGACGAGACAAACTGAATGGTGGAGGCGATGCAGAGGCGGTGCTCCTCCGGCCGGAAGTTGGTGGCCACCGTCTGGATCAGGTGGAGAATGTCGAACTTGATGTCGACGAAGACGTAGAGGACGACCAGTCCGCCGGCCATGGTGTTGATCGGCACCAGACAGGAGTGGCCGTAGTGGACGATCATGTCGCAGCCCAGCTCCTTGGCCTTGCAGTCGTCGACGCAGCAGGCGCCGTAGACGACGTCCGCCATGATCACGAACTCCACCTCGTCGAGGAGGAACTCCTTCAGCAGGTTGACGATGGGCACGGCGAAGATGAAGAGGCCGTCGGGAAACTGAAGTGCCACCCGCTTGGCGCCCACTTTTCGAATCCGCCAAATGGTCTTGTGAATCTCGAAGCTGTAGTTGTCGGGCAGGGAGGCGGCGATTCGCCTATTCAGCACTGGGTCGTAGAGAATTTCATCCGGTACCTGGTTCGCCTTTGGGCCACCAACCGGTGGCCTTTTCGGTGTTGTCGTTGTTGAAGAACTCATCTCGAAATCACAAAATAAAAATGATTTGTTCTGGCCAAGTGTTTCAAAACACACATCGGAGTCACGTGGGTGGTGCAGCACACAGAAGACGTTCAAGTGCACGAAAACAAACGAAAAATCACAGATTTGATTTTGATTTTGATTTTGGAAGATGAAGGTGAAGGTAAATGCTGATAATCTCAACAGCAACTCACTACAGAGCTAACCAGATAGGTCGACAATCCTTTTGCGATGGCCAACGCTGAGATGTACTTTGGTGATCCGCTTTAGAATGACCTGCTCGGCAAAGTGCTCCGCCACCTGGTCGACCATTCTCTGGCCAATCTCCTGATCAGCTGAGAGGAACCAGGCGATGCTCGTGTGGTAGATGAACCGATTCACCAGGTCATCATCAACTGGCTTCACCACCTCAGACCGGTACTGCTTCAGGACGGTGTGAACTGACTTGATCAGCTCATGGCGAGGGCTGTGACGGCTGTTCAGACTTTCGTATTCATTTTCATTTTCTATTTTAGGCGGTTTGTCATCTCCTGACTTTGAGGTTGTCTCAGCTTCACAAAGGGCGATAAAATGCCTCGACTTTTCATCGTTACTAAAGAGGCGCACCTTGCTGAGGCAGAGTGAAAAGGCGCTGTACGACTTGATTGCCGCTTCCAGTTGGTTCAGTAGTGGATCAATTTGGTGGTACTCGACGGCGTAGTGGCCGCGAATCAAGGAGATGTGCGGCTCCTTCTCAAAGACGACCTTGTCGGTGATATCGGCGAAATCGTCGTACATCTCCTCAATCTGTTCATCGCCCTCCAGCGGCACGAAAACGTGTACTACAAATTGATTTCGGACGCTGGCAAAAGTCCGTTGGCGTTTGTTGGCGGTGGATGAGGTGGTGTCATTCTCTTCGGCATCACTTTCTGCCTCGTCTTTTCGTCGTTTTTCGTCCTTCTTTTTGAAGAGATCCAATGTCCTTACTGAGGGTAACATCTTTCTTGAGATAAGAGTTGACTTTGCAAAGTTGACTGCAACAAATCGCGCAGCTGGGACTTTTAAATTCAAAACAAACTTTTTTGGCTATATAGACAGATTTGGTGGAAATCGCTTTGCAAAAAAGCTTGTTTTGATTTTGATTTTGACTTTTTGAACTTCAATTCAGGTCGGGGGAAATACCTCCATCATGGCAGACATTATCACGATTGAAGATGAAGACCCAGAGGTTGAAGTGCCAGCCAGCCCTCTTCCGTTACTTATGACCACCATCAGCCTAGTTGAGAGTAACAGAAAACGAAGCCGGACGAGAAGAAACCCAGTGCCCATCTTTCGCGATCCTTCAGCTGATGTTCCTGTGGGTGATGATAATCCTCCGAATGACGATGACTCCTCGACTGAGGACGACTTTTTCTCCGATGATAGCAATGATTTGGAGTACAGAGGAGGCAAGAGAGCCACCACCACAGCCACCCGATCACAAATAACACTGAGAAGCGGCACAGTTGGTCAAGTGAGGCACATCAAACGCCATTCCAGTCGGCTGAACAAAGTGCCCGCTTCAGAGGAGTCAAATTCGCCGGTAGAGCAGCAGAAGCAACATGTCTCTCCAGCAAAGCCCAAAGGGCCAAAAAAGCACCACCTCAAAGTACTCGACTACTCAGTCAAAGACGGCCAGTTCTGCTATAAAGTTGCTGAAGATGGAGAGACCAAGACGTTGACCGGTGAGGCGGTTCGCCGGAAGTGTCTGGTTGCCGCAGTTCAGCACCTCGAGTCACGCATTCGCATCAAGGACGCACTTCCATTCAGGAAGATCCTTCAGATGGGCGAGTACTTGAAAAAGTTGTAGTATTATTTTGTCTGAGTTTTGTTTTCATCTTTGCATCTTTTTTTTTGTACATCACTCGGACACTAGGGCTTCATTTCTGTAAATATATATTCATTCGTTTACACTAGGATGAATGTGTTTAGGGACTCTAAGGTTGTGTTATCACTAAAATGTGTGTGTGTGTGATGTTGTTGAGGCGCGCGCACACACTTACAGTGCTCAGTGCTTGCCATGATCACCGTGGCCGTGATCATCGTGGTGCTCCAGCTCGGGGTAGATTTCCTCCTTGATGGAAATGTATTTGAGGAGTTCACGCGGCGTGTTGAGCTTCTCCGCGTCCACGTCAGGTATCTCAAACTGAAACTCGTCCTCGATGCTCATGATCACCTCGACGTGGTCCAGCGAGTCCAGGCCGAGGTCATTGTAGAAGTGCGAGTCCAGCGTCAGCTTATCCGGGTCAATCTTGTCGTAGAGCCTGAGGACGAGGAGGATGCGCTCGCGAATGTAGTCGTAGGTGAGCGGCACCTTGTGCCCGTTGCGGACGATCAGCTTGTTCGGGGCCAAGGGGGCGGCCAGCAGGAGGTGATTCGGGTGATTGCTCGACTGCTGGAAGGCCAACTGCGAGGACTTGGGCGCCTTCAGGCTGGCGGCAATTCGAACTGGTGGCCAGGAGTGCAGCAACTTCGCCTGCTGAACACTACCGCCGCCGCTGCTTCGAAGCACCACCGCCGCTCGGGAGAGGTTCAGCGTTAGCTGACGCAAGGCTGATGCCATCGTTCTGGTGGTGGTGGTGGTGGTGGTGAAATGGTACCTCGATGACCAAGAAGATCAAGAAGAAGACTGACGCCAGAAGCGAGGCGAAGAGACGACGACCACAACGAGGATGAGGCCACCGAAAAATAACACAGATTTACCCAAAACAGCGTGCAGGGCAAATGGGAGAGCAGTGGCGGTGACGACTTCTTCAGCAGAAGGTACCGCTCTTCTAAACACGACCAGTCGGCAGACGGTGCCGCTACCGCAGAAGACGTTACACGGAGAAGAGTTTTGTGATTGCGCAAGAGTTAAAAATGTAATCAAATAGAAACAAACAAAAAGGTACAAACTTCCACTTCTCGGCTCGTGGAAAGAAATGGAAGTAACAACATCAAGTAGAAATCGCATGTCAAGAAGGCTGCTATTGCTTGGAGGAGCTGCTCGAGGCTTGCATGGGCTCGTCATTATCATCACCGGCGGCCACGGCGGCCAGCTTGCGCTTGAGGGCCGTCTTCTCCCGGCGCTCCGACATCACCTGAATGTCCTCGCTGAAGAGCGTCTCCAGCAGTGGGCGCATCTTCGCCGCCCGCCATAGCTGTCCCAGCTCGAGGTGCATAAAGTCAAAGGCGAAGCCGACGTTGTCCTCGCTGTACTTTGCCAGCTGACTGGCCAGGGCCTTGTCATCATCACCAGCACTTTCCGCTTGCCCAGCTTCACTCTTCAGCAACAGCTGATCGACGGGGGCAATCTTGGCGTAGCGCTGCGAGAAGTGCGTCAGCATGGTGAAGCGGGCGCGGCAGTTGAAGCCGGCGCGGATCGCCTGCGAGATGGTCGAGTGGCGCTTCTCCTTCGCCTCCTCCGCCAGGTCGTCGTTCATCGTCGCCTCGTGGATCAGCAGCGAGGCGTCCCGGGCCGCCTGGTCAAAGGCGTGCGAGAAAAGCGTGTCGCCGGTGTAGGCGATCTTCTCGCCGCTCTTCGTCGTCAGCACAATGCCGTGGCTGTCGCGGCAGTGCGGCACCCGCACGGTGACCAGCTCGCTGAGGGAGAGCGCCTTCAGCAGGCGGCGCTTTGTCGCCGCCGCCGCCTCCGACAGGTCCTCCTCGCGCTCAAAGAGCAGGTCCTCGTGGCGAATCAGCTTGTACTGGCGGTAGAGCTTCTCCAGGGGGACCACCTCCCGGCCAAAGTCCTGGAGAAAGTCGCCAATGCAGTCGGGGGCAATCAGCAGCAGCGGCCCAGGCGGAGGCGGCCGTGGACTGCCCTCGGCGGCGGCCGCCGCATTCATTCGGCCGCTGCGCTCCACCAGCTCGTTCTCCCGCTCGCGCAGCAGCCGCACCAGGCCAAAGTGGTGGTCGGCGTGGTTGTGGGAGATGAAGATGGCCCGCAGCCGCACCAGCAGGTCCTTCGTCGCCTGCGGCCCGTAGAAGCGCTGCAGCTGGAGGTAGGTGGCCTCGCCGCAGTCGAGCAGCATCGACGCCTCCGGGCGGAGGTTCACCAGAATGGCGCTGGTGTTGCGCTGCTTGCCCGGCGTCGCCGAGGCGGTGCCCAGAAAGAGCACGTTCGGCTTGAACTTCGGACTTGA